ATATTGCGATGAGATTTTGCTTCCATATTACTTAATGATAACAAAAAGAATGGTTTATTAGGTGGCTGCTATGATAGAGTAGCTTTAATTGTACAAGTATTTGAGAGCTTCTCTGCACTCTTTGAAACTCCTGTGGGCTTTTAGGTTGCAGTCGCATGTGCACTTGCAGCACACAAATTGCGACGCCCAGTTCGTATGTACCTCGATCGCCAGACTGATATGATAATGACTGGGGGAAGGCACCCAATAAAGGTCACGTACACAGTGGGTTTCAATTCCGATGGGAAAATCACTGCCCTCCATTTTGATGCATTGATAGATGCTGGAATATCACCTGATACAAGCCCGATCATGCCCAAGACCATTGTCAATGCATTGAAAAAGTACAATTGGGGTTCTCTCTCTTTTGATTTCAAGGTGTGCAAAACTAATTTCCCGAGCAAATCAGCCATGAGAGCACCTGGAGATGCTCAGGGCTCTTTTATAGCCGAAACCATCATTGAACATGTGGCATCATCTCTTTCTATGGATGCCAATTCCATTCGTGAAAAGAATCTCCACACTTTCTCGAGTCTCAATTTGTTCTATGGAGACAGTGTAGAGAATGCCGCTTCATATACTTTACCTCTAATTATGGACAAATTGGTTTCATCATCGTGTCTCAACCAGAGAATCCAAACTATCCAACAATTTAACAGTATGAATAGATGGAAGAAACGGGAAATCTCTCTCTTACCCATTATTTACGAAGTGTCTCCAAGGCCAACACCAGGACGAGTGAGCATTCTTAATGACGGTTCAATAGTTGTTGAGGTGGGAGGAGTCGAGATAGGCCAGGGGCTTTGGACCAAAGTGACACAAATGACTGCTTTTACTCTCGGTCAGTTATGGAAAAAAGGAAATGAAGAGATTTTGGAGAAGATTCGAGTTGTTCAATCCGATACAATAAGTTTGGTGCAAGGAGGGTACACAGCTGGAAGCACCACATCTGAATCGAGCTGTGCTGCTGTGGGGCTTGCTTGCAATATCTTGGTCGAAAGGCTTGCTCCCATCAAGGCAAATTTACTAGGCAAAATGCAGCTAGTTTCATGGGATGCTCTGGTTCGTCAAGTACGTACGCACAGCAAGCTCTCCCTCCCCCCCCCCCCTCTCTCTCTCTAGTGTCTTGGATTTGTGCGAGTCATGGCAGTTTAATAGGCATCTCATTGACATAGAAGGACAATTAGCTTACACTGCTATGATCAATAATGGTTAAGCATAATGACTTCATCCAGTTTTCAGAAGAAAAATGTTGGGAATCAGCCGAGTCTCGTTGGTTCCCATGGTTTTATCGTTAATTATATTTGGAAAATTTATCAAAAAGCACCCAAGAGATGAACTATTTAACATTTCACTCATTATTTTAATTTAATTTCAAAAGTTCCATCAAAGAACACTAATCATGACTTGGAATTTTAAGCACTTTTCGATTTTGCTCCTCCTTCAAAGTTAAGTGGTTTCTAAGGAAACCACTTAAATCATGGCCTGATATTGCACAAAGACCATCTCTATCTAGGTGTTTAAGTATTCAAAGAATAGTTTCTTTTTAAGAATTTATCAAAAAGCACTCAAGTTTTGGGAGAAACTTTCTCATAATCACCCGAATCCATTTTTCCATGAAGTTCCAAAGTGCGTGTTGGAGTTTTTTCTCTTTTAGGTTGGTCTTTAGGTTGAATGTGAAACATCCCCAATTTTGAAATTCTAAAAATATTCCTAACAATGGTTTTACACAAGGTAGCAAATGTACATTATGTTCCTGCAGGAGCATACAAATTTTTTCAAACTATAAAAACATAAAGTGCGTGCTGACTTCCAAATTAACTTCGGAAGGAGAGGCAAGATTGGAAAGTGCCCCCCCTAGAAATTCTAACTCATTATTCATGTTTTGTGATAGAATTTCTTAAATTAAATACCGACCACTTTGAAAATAAATTTGAAAAAATGGATGAGATATTAAGTAATTGATCTCTTGGGTGATTTTGACAAATTCCGCAATTCTTTCCGAACTTGGCATAGACTCGGGCTACAGATCCTAGGAGTCTCGACCCGAGTCCTTAACTTTAAAACACTGACTCCATCTTTCCATCTTGTAGGCACATATGCAGGCAGTGAACTTGTCAGCAAATGCATATTGGACCCCTGATATGAGTTCAAGTAGTTACCTGAATTTTGGTGCAGCTGCAAGTGAGGTGATTCATACATGCTTGTCTTAGTCTCATTTTTGTACAGGCATACGATATCAAATCGTTTGCATCAGAAGTAATTAATGAATTATTGTTATATCATAATAGGTGGAGATAGACCTTCTGACTGGAGCTACAACAATTTTAAGAACAGATATCACTTATGACTGTGGAAGAAGCCTGAACCCTGCTGTGGATCTTGGACAGGTTGTGCTAGATAATCTATAAATGAATTTATAAGCCCACATCCCATTACTTACATAATTTACTTTAATGTTTTTACATGCATAGATCCATGTTTCTGTATAATTTTGTTGCTACCCTTATCGATATCGGGATGAAACTTTTAAACATCTCTAACACATGCACACAAACACGTACATTTGTGTGTGTGTTTTCCATGTTCATGAACTTACACTCCATGGATTTTTCACATAGATTGAGGGAGCGTTTGTTCAAGGAATCGGATTCTTCACGCTTGAAGAGCATGTTGTGAACTCTGAAGGGATGGTGGTATCAGATGGGACATGGACATATAAGATACCAAATATTGACACCATACCCAAGCAATTCAATGTCGAGTTCTTTAGCAGCGGCCATCACAAGAAACGAGTTCTCTCATCTAAAGGTAAATACTATTCTTTCACAACTATTCAGTAATGGGGTTTGCAATCATACATTATGGTTGTTTTGTTGCTTTTTCTTTTTTTTTGGTTCAGCATCAGGAGAGCCTCCATTGCTTCTGGCTGTTTCAGTTCATTGTGCTATGAGAGGCGCCATTAAAGAGGCTAGGAAAGAGCTTCAGTCTTATAAAACTAGCTCAAATGAACAAATTGGAGAAGACTGTTCAGCCATCTTTAGAATGGACACTCCTGCGACCATGGATCTGGTGAAGAGGCTGTGTGGGCTGGAGAATGTTGAGAGATATTTACAGAGTCTGGTCCATCACCATTGAGAAGCTCTCTCTCTCTCTCTCTCTCTCTATATATATATATATATATATATATGTAAAATACTTGTAGAACAGATTAATGTATTAATTTATTCATCTTTAACATGCGACAATCATGTCCCTGTGTTTGATGTCTGTAATATCCGAAGAGAATAGGATTCCTTGGTCCACAGCTTAAGTTAGCATGGTTATATTTATGGAAAAAGAAAAGAAAGAAACATTTGGGTTTTTCATTTTTGGGAATATAGCATTGATAGAACAAAGTGCTGCAATGGAACAGATAAGCATAGTACTCTTTCTGATGACTCACAAAATATACTTATCATTCAATAAAATTTGTCTCTTGTCTATGAAAAAAAATAGAAGAAAACATCTTGGCGAAATTAAATTAACTGATGGAGTGGTGGCAAACTTGGCTATATAGCACACTCGATGCATTTTCAGGCTTAAGAGCAAATCCCAGATGGGGTGGTAGCAGTCCCCATTAACTTAGATCTATACAACACTGAATGCACTTTCAGGCTTTAAGAGCCAATCCCTTTTAACCGTTGTTCATATACTAGATAAAATGATTGTATATAATGAGAACATTAATCTTTAGTACAAAGAAATCATAATTTTTTTTAGCCATTAAATGTAAAATCCACTAGATAAAGTTGTTGCAACATTCGAGAAATTTATTTTGAACGTTGTGCTTAAATAATGACACATCATCAACCACCCGAATTCAAATCTAAGGGTTTAACTCTAATTATGACCCCCTTATATAAAAAATAAATGGTCTCATTGTAAACACTTTCTACTTTTCAAATGCCTAATAGTTACTTTCAATCTTAATGGCAAATCCCTTTAACCTGGCCATATACTTTCAAAGGCCTAATTAGTTTTCAGGTTCATGAGATCCTCAATGAGCCCACTTTCATCACCTTTCTCCTTCAATCCTTTAACAACAAGATCAACATGGAGATCTCTAGGTATAAATCTCTTGCCCACCATCACTCTAACCAAGTTACCTGCTTCTTTGAAATGGCTCTGTTCACATAGGCCAACAAGGAGTAAAGAAAAAATATCTGAATCTAATGAGCAAGACTGTTTTTCCAATTCAAGACACCAAACTAAACCCTCCAAGTAGCTCTTCTCGTCACAAAGCCACCTAATCCAAGAGCTGCAAGCCAATTCATCAAGCACAATCACACCACCCAACATTTTCTTCATCAGTTTCTCAGCATCGACTGTGTTTTTTGTTCTCAGCAGAGAGAGAAAGAGGGAACTGTAAAACCACTTTTCTCTTCCTAAGAAACAACCCCTTTGAACCAATCCATCAAAAGCTTTATAGGCTTCATCCATGCGCCCTTTTTTACACAGGCCTGCAACAATGGTGCTCAGTGTTACTCGATTTGGCATGCACCCATTGTCCACCATTGTGTTGAGGAGAGAAAGAGCTTCTTGAGTTCTTCCATTTTCACAAAAGCTTTGGATGAGAGAGGTGTAAGTTACCACATTTGGGGTGCACCCATTTTCTCTCTCTTCCATCTCTCTGAAAATCTCCATTGCCAATTCAATTTTACCAGCTTTACAAAAGGCATCTATAATGGTTGAATAGATACAAACAGTTGAGGGGCAACCACGGCCCTGCATATCAACAAGAAGCTGTCGAGCTTCTTCGAACCTATTCGATTTGCAAAACCCCTTTATCAGAATGGTATACGTGATCGCATCAGGAATGAGACCAAGCTCTAACATCTCTCTAACCATGGCCTTGGCCTCCTCAACTTTGCAATTAAAGGTCTCTCTCACCCCTCCAAGTTTTCTCTCTCTACCCACTTCTCTCTCAATTCCAACCTCGCTCTCCCCTCCAAACTTTCTCTCTCCTCCTTTCTCTCTCTCTCCTCTCAGTAAAAGATGGAGAACGATGTTGTAGGAAGCAATATCAGGCCTGCAATGGAAATCCTCCATTCTTCTAAGAAGACCAATAGCTGGTTCAAGCAATTCAGCCTCTTTGCACAGAGCGAGAAGAACCCAAAAGGAACGAGCAGTGACCAGAACGCCCTCTTCTTTCTTGTAATCATCGAGGGTCTTGGCCAAAATCTCTGGTTTCTCAGCAATGGCGAGGAGCTTACAGGCGTTCTTGTAAATGGAGGGCGGGTGCCTGTAACCCTTTTGCTGGCCTGCCCATACAAAGAACCTCAACCCTAGAGCTCTTCCATGGCTCTCTGGTAACGAAGAAGAGGAACATTTTTTTAGGACAGCTACAACACAAGAGGGAGCGAGTTTTGCCCTAATTTTGCAGAGGGATCTCTCGAAGTTGGGTTTGAAGCAATGGTTCATCAACTCTAACCAGTATTTCTCTGCGTCTTCAACCGAGCTGCTCTCTGCGGTGGAAATGGTGGTAAATGTCGATGATGAGTGTGAAAAAGGAAGCCATGGTTGCCTGTGCAGGGACCACCATCGCCTGATGATCATGGTACCATTCTTCCTTGCTTGTGATGGTTTGCAAAGAATTTATAGAGAGAAAAGTTAGAGATGTGTGTCCGAGTAAGTGATTTGCAGCAGAGAGAGAGAGAGAGAGAGAGAGTATCTGGAGATTTATGAAGGTTTAGAGAGAGAGAGAGAAAGTATCTGGATTTATGAAGGTTTAGAGAGAGAGAGAGAGATCCTCGATTTATGAAGGTTTAGAGAGGGAGAGAGTTTGTTTCTCGATTTATTGAGCTCTAGAGAGAGATTTTTGTTGCTCAAATTATTGTGAGAGGAGAGAGAAAATCGACCAGTGAGGCAAGTGGCGCGAATGCTTGAAATTTTAAACACAAAAACCCGCCCGGTTGATCGAACCCGCACGTAACCGGTTCCTCTTCATCCACGTGAATCTGTTGGATCGGACCGGTAACAGTTTGGCCAAGGCTGTAAACAAGTTGAAAAGATGACAAAAATTGTGAATGTAAGCTTTTTACATATGGACAGGATAAAATTAATTTAATGAAACCGGTCGAAAGCGGTTCAACCGGCCTAATTGGTAAATCGACAGCTTCAACCGGCTTAATCAAGCAAGCTTTGGATGGTCAAAAATATGTTTAAAAAAAATCTAATAAAATATAAAAATTATATTAAAACATGATTAAACAAAGCACATCCAAATAAAGTTGAAAATTAATGGAAAAAAATAAATTTGTGCCCAGCGGTACTTTTGATGTTTTTTTTAAAAAAGATGGGAAAATATAAAAATAAGTATTAATGGCCAAAAAATTTTCAATATTTTCCAAAATGATGAAAAACATTAAAAAATATATTATAAATAAAATATCTTATTTTTGGGATTTTATATATTTTTTAAAAAAACAAAATACCCAACCAGTTCACCAAAACCGGCCGAAACTATAATCGACTATTCGTCGGTTCCAATCTAACCGACCGGTTACAATTTGAGCCGTTCGATTTTTCCTACATTGGGTCTTACTCCCCTCAAGATAATAAAACGAAACTTTAAAATATCATCGTAAATTGTTTTTTAATATAAGGTCTCTCACCTTATACTAAACTAGAATATGTTGTTTTGATGCCTCAATATCCTCAAATAGATCTTGTCAAAATCAAGATGCATGGACATAAGAAAAAAAACGGATTTCAAGTTTTGGAAATAATATATCTTATAAAGTATTTTTGGAATGTCAATTTTCAATATTTCATAGATTTACTCTATCTACACCATTTTTTAAGCTTTAAATTTTATAATTAAAAGTGAAAATATATTTGAAAGTTATGACAAAGATTTCCAGTACTGAAATCACATTTCTTGAAACTATTTGAAGGTACACTACACTTTAATTGTTTAGAGCCTCGGCTCTATACAAACCGCACCCTTTTTTTTTTAGCCCTTGAAGATAAATTTTCTTAAGTTTTTGGTGCTTGAAGATAAAAATATTTAATATTTTTCCCTCGAAGATAAAAACATTTTGCCTTAGAAGGCAATTTTATTTTATTTTTTTGTTTGCCTTTGAAGATAAAATATTTTTTAAGAGAAAAAATTGATAAAAATAATAATTTCTCACTTGAAAATAAAAATATTTTGCCCTTGAAAACAATTTTGTGTTTGTCCTCGAAGACAAATCTTTTTTCTAAGAAAAAAAAGGAAAAAAAATATATTTTATTTTCTGTTCTTTAAAGAAAATAAATAATTTATTTTTGGCCTGAAAAAATTTTGGGAGATCAAAGAGAGTGAAGAACCACCGGCTTAGTGTTATAAATAATTTATTTTTGGCATAAAAAAAATTGGGGAGATCAGAGAGTGTGAAGAACCATCGGCTTAGTGTTGGAACTCCAACTTGGGCGTACCGCAGCAAATTAACCTCTTCAATCCCTCTCTTTGAGTAACCAAAGTCTTCGATCCCTCTCTTTAACCAAAGTTAATCCCTTCTTCAATCCCTCTTCTTTGAGTAACCAAAGTTAACCTCTTCAATTCCTCTCTTTGAGTAAGACCAAAGTTAACCCCTTCAATCCCTCTCTTTGAGTAAGACCAAAGTTAACCCCTTCAATGCCTCTTTTTTGAGAACCGGCAGCTTACTTTTTTTCAAAGTAATGGCGAAGAGGACCGAAACATGCCACTCAGGTACAAGATATTGTCATTACCACCTGGACAATTAGATATCCAACCCGCAATCGCAACAACCCAATTGCATGAGCAGAGCTCTACCAACTGAGCTATATCCCCCGGGCCAAATGTAGCATGCATGAACAAGTTAGATGCTTTTTCTATTCCATGGCGCAGCTGGGCCATCCTAGACTTGAACTAGATACCTCGCCTGTGAAGTAAATCATTGCACCTTCGATCCAACCAATTGGGAGAGAATTAATAGATTGCATCATGACGCTTAAGGACACGATCTAAAAGGTCGTTGTATCGAGTAGTTGGGTCATAGTCCCTTACCATAAAAATAGCTGCATGTGCAACAGCGCCAACTATGAGAAATCCACCGATCCACATGTGATGTATGAACAACGAGAGTTGTGTACCATAGTCAACAGCTAGATATGGATAGAGGGGCATACAATACATATGGTGAGCTACAACAATGGTTAAAGAGCCTAACATAGCTAGCTTAAAAGCTAATTGAGTATGCCATGACGTTGTTAAGATCTCATAGAGACCTTTATGACCCTCGCCTGTAAATGGACCTTTATGAGCCTCTAAAATCTCGTTTAGGCCATGACCAATTCCCCAGTTGGTCCTATACATGTGACCAGCTATCAAGAAAATAATTGCAATAGCCAAATGATGGTGTGTAGTATCGATCAGCCATAGACCCCCTGTTACTAGATCTAATTCTCCACGAAAAGTAACAAATTCCACGTATTTTGACCAATTCAAGGTAAAAAATGTGGTTGATCCCTACAAAAAGGAGTTTGATAGAATATGGAATAAGGATATACAAACAAGAACCAATCCCGATGAAAAGGCAGAATAAATAGAATTGGTAAGTAATACTACTCCTAAACTTCCTAATATTATACATTAGCCCAAAGATACCAAAAGAATATCATGTATTGGTCCAAGTAAATCCATGACGTGTGAAACAATAAGTCAAAATATTTCTTAATCTTACTGACAAGAAAAAAAATAAGAGGTTACCATATTTTGTTTTTATTTTTCTTTACATTCCTACTTTACATTCCGAATTGAATTTCTCTTAATTTTAATGAGTTGTGGACTAATATGGGCAAAAGCCTGACGGAGCAATGCCGCGTGAAGGTAGAAGGCCCAAGGGTCATGAACATATTTTCTCGGAGAAGAAGAAATGACGATATTCGAGGAATAAGCATCAGCAAACTCTATGTCAACAGTCCCGGTAAGACATCGGATGCAAATGTTATCCAGAATGATTGGGCGTAAAGAGTATGTAGGTGGCTTTTCAAGTCCGACGTCAAATCCTATGGCTCAACCCTGGACAGGCGGTGGAAACTACCAAGCTAGAGTATGGTAGGGGCAGAGAGAATTTCTGGTGGAGCGGTGAAATATGTAGAGATCGGAAAGAACACCAACGGCGAAAACATTCTGCTGGGCCAACACTAACACTGAGAGATGAAAGCTAGGGGAGCGAATGGGATTAGATACCCTAGTAGTCCCAGCCGTAAACGATGGATACTGGGTGTTGTGCGTATCGACCGATATTGCTCATCATCGTTTAGCCATTGCATTTGTTTTTTCGGACGAAGCAGTATCTTGTACCTGCGATTAGAAGTGTTGTTAATTTCAGTTTTCTTATGAACCTCATTGGATTCATAAGAAAATAAGTCTCAAATAGACAAAGGGGGGAGTAACTTATTGAATTTATCAAATAGAACCTATTCAATAAATTTCTAAATAGAAAGTAAAATTCTAGTATATGAATGATTTAATGATTTCCAAGTTTTTGAATAAATTCATATTGTGTCATACCTAAAATCCATTGATTATTGATGTTTTCTTGCTTTGGAAGAGTCCACACACAGAGACTATGAATCAATCAACAGATCTGATTCTTCAAAAACATCATCAAAAGCAAAAGAATAGAGTAGTTTGCATCGGAGCAAATGATCAATTTTGTCATTTCTACAAATGTTGACTGGAGGAATTCCCAACTCTTATAATAAATAAATGGGAGTTAATATCATTCCAACTAATTATAAGTAAATATAGAACCTCCAAAAACGTGGGCTAAGCCAACTAGTCTTGCTTGAACAATGGAAAGGCCCACAAGTTTATCCCTCCATCGAATCAAATTAGCCAAAGGTGTGCATTCATGAGCCCATGCTAGAGTTTCATTCAATTCCTGCCAATATCCTCACCAGGAAATTAAAAACATGAATCCAGTAGCCCAAACCAGATGACCAAATAAGAACATCCATGCCCAGACAAATAAACTATTTATACCTAAAGGGTTATATCCATTGATAAGTTGTGAAGAGTTTAACCATAGATAATCTCTTAACCATCCCATCAAATAAGTAGAAGATTCATTAAACTGTGAAGGAATACCCTGCCATAAAGTGATATCCTTCCAATACCAATAAAAAGTAACCCATGGTATTTAACATCCAAAAAACTGCCAAATAAAATGCATCCCAAGCCGAAATATCACAAGTACCACCTTGTCCTGGACCATCGCAATGGAAACTATAACTAAAATCTTTCTTATCTGGCATGAACTTGAAACCACGTGTATCTAAAGCACATTTTACTAAGATCAATGTAGTTGTATGCAAACCTAGAGCAATAGCATGATGAACCAAGAAGTCTCCAGGATCTATTGTTAGGAATAGTGAATTACCATTCTCATTAATATCATTCAACCAACCAGGTAACCATAAGCTTCGACCAGCATTGAATGTTGGGCTGTTCGTAGAAAATAAGAGTACATCAAATCCATATGAAGTCTTACCATGCGCGGATTGTATCCATTGGGCAAATATAGGTTCGATCAAGATTTGTTTTTCTAGAGTACCAAAAGCAAGCATGATGTCGAGTCCCAAAGTATGGAAATCCAAGAACAAGCTGGCCCAACTTAAATGAGATTTTATAGCTTCTTTGTGGTCTAACATTCTTGCCAATACATTATCCTCGTTCTGTTCTAAATTGTAATCTCTAATGAAGAAT